CAGCCAAGAGACGCAGCGTCTGGCCCCTGCCCGTCCCGGTGTGCACCAGCAGGTGGCGCAGCAGGTTGCAGCCGCGGCTGAAGCTCTTGCCGCACTGGGCGCAGCGGTGGGGCCGCGGGCCGCCGTGGGTCAGCAGGTGGCGCGCCAGGCCGGCCCGGCGCACGAAGCGCTTCCCGCAGTGCGGGCAGCCGTAGGGCTTCTCGCCCGTGTGCACGCGCTGGTGGCACGCCAGCTGGGAGCTCTGGCTGAAGCTGCGGCCGCACACCGGGCAGGTGAAGGGGCGCTCGCCCGTGTGCACGCGCCGGTGGTCCAGCAGGTAGGAGCGCAGCGAGAAGCTGCGGCCACAGTGCGGGCAGGGGTAGGGCCGCTCGCCAGTGTGCGTGCGCTGGTGCGTGACCAAGTAGGAGCGGCGCCCGAAGCCCGCGCCGCAAAAGGCGCAGCGATAGGGCCGCTCCCCGGTGTGAATGCGCCGGTGGGTGACCAGGTGCGACTTGTAGACGAAGCGCTTGCCGCAGTCCGGGCAAGGGAAAGGCTTCTCTCCGGTGTGTGTGCGCTGGTGAATGGCCAGGTGGGAGCGGTACACAAAGCCCTTGCCGCACTCCTCACAACCAAAGGGCTTGACAGCTGCGTGGTAGCGCTGGTGCTTGGCCAGGCGGGACCTGTGCGGGAACACTTTGCCACACACATCACACGTGGTCTCGGGCCTTCCTGTGGGGGCGGCCACCTCTGCAGGGAAGGCCCAGGGCAGGTTCACACCCGGCTCACGGCCAGGCAAGAAGGCCTTTGCCTCAGAGCCCTCCGCCAGGCCCCCGAGGCCGCCCAGGTCGGGCTCCCACCCTTCTGGAGTCTGCGCTGAATCTGAGTCGTCAGGGCCCCAGGTGCCTGGTACATCGCCCACACCGTAGGCTGCAGACCACAGCCCTGGGGGTTCATTCTCCTCCTCAGCCACCTCTGCCAGAAAGTCCTCATCATCTTCCTCCTCATGATCCTCCATGTCATCAGTCCAGAACCAGGCGCCTGAAGGTGAAAGGGAGGGTGGGGGCAGTGAGAAGAGGCTGGGAGACCCTTGCTGGCTTATGTCCTAAGTGACTATGACTTTCTCAGGACCCTAAGCAAGTTGTCCACACCCCAGACATGAAGGTCTCCCTACAAACTGCAGAGTGAGGCACCCCTCACTCTGCACAGAGGCATCCCTCTTAGGAAGGCCCAGGTTCCTTTCCTACTTGGATGTCCTCAAATGGCTCAAAACTAACTCTTCCATACCACCTCACCCTACAGATCATCCCTGTTCCTCAGCAGGAGGCTGTTTCCCTAAAGTCTCCCAAAGAACTCCATTGCAATGGCCTACTTCACCCAAGCCAGCAAGACTCCAACCCCGGCCCAACCTGCCACCTGGCCACCAAGTGCTTGCCTCTGCTCAGTATCACTCTTTCTCTGGGTTCACCAGCCTCAGGCTGGCCAGTAGCCAAGATCTCCCTCCTGGCCCCACGACAGGCAGATCCCAATCCTGGTCACCAAGGAGATCTAGAAGATCATTAGGCCCCCCCACTCTCTTCACTACTTCTAACAGGCCCAGCTACCGTGCAGGCAGAGCTCAGAGGTCCCTATTAATGTCCCCAACAGGTCGGCTTTTTCTCAACTACTGTGCACTTGTGAATGGCCCCACATCAGATAACAGTGCATGAGTTATAATCACCTTCCCATGGCATAAAGCCAAGGAACCCCACATTCCTGTCATTCTGCCCCACCCCCACCAAGCTACACCCAACCTGTCCTTCCAGTGCAGCATGTCATAAGAAGTCAGGATCTTTGGTTTATACTACAACAGTGCTGAGATGCCCGTCGTCAGACACTCTACAGGGAAATAGTGCTTCCAGAGAGGCACTAAGCCACACAGGATTGAGGAGGAAAATGCCTCGCCCACGGGGCCCCAGTCTCCCAAAGCACCTGCATGCCTACTTTCTCCCCTGCGTTTGGCTGGTGTGTCCTCCCACCACACTGTATCCCCACCTCTGCAAGGTTAAGCTCCCACCCCACTAGGTCCAAGGCTGAGTGAGCCTGGATCACAGAGTCCTGCCCCAAGGCGAGGTCAGAACTGGAGGGCTGTCCACCCCAGTTCAACCCTCACTCTCATCTGGAAAGCATTCTAGATACAGAACATGATCACACACAGCAATGCAAAGCCAGTGGGGTGAAATATAGCCAGAACTGCACAGGCAAGATTTCAGCTGTTAAAAAAAACAAGACCATGTAACTCATGAAAGTATGCAAAGATAGGTTATTTTATTCTTTGGTATTTGGCAGTTCTGTAGTTCATAACACTATACAAATCATTCTGAGGGCCACGGGTCTGTCGCAGAGTGGAAAAGTCAACCCAACAAGGATGTGAGGCCGGATCACCAGGCCATGATGGTCACATGGCCTCGTGTGGGCCACGTGGGCAGCCTGTAGGCCCACCTCCCCTATCTGTTCCCTGGCTCAGTGTGGATGGGAAGAGGCAGGAAACAGGATTCCCCAAGGGCAGGAACTTAGCCAGCAAGCACACAGAGCATTTCTGAGAGGCAGGACACTATGCTCTAAGTGGCCAGGAGAGAGGCTTTGGTGAGAGAAGGAAAGGAGAGGGCCAGGAGAGGCGAAGGGAACAGGGAGTGGGGAGCCCAGATGAAGTGGAACAAGAGCTAGAGCAGAGGAAGAGGCTCTGGGGGGACCTAAGTGGAAGACTTGCTACAGTTCAAATGTCATATGTGGCCCAACTGGTCAGAAGGTGAGCGGCCACACTGTTCTGCAAGATAACAATTGAGAAGCACTGAAGCTGTGAGGCTTGATCGTGTAGCCGGCATCCATCGTGTAGCCTATCAGGGGCTCAGCTGCATAGACTGGAAGGCAGGGGCAGCAGTCCGGGCCAGAGGGGTGGCTGTAGCAAACTGGCTATGATTGGAGTGAAGAAGGAAGTCTTACATGGGTTTATGCTGCCCAAGCTGCCCCTGGCCTTTGCCACTTCATCCCTACCCAGTAGGTAGGTGATGCCCTAAGACTGTGCCTGGTGTGTCTGGATCCTTCACCTACCTAGGTTCTGAAGACAGTCAGGCTTGGGGCTGGGGGAAGGAAAGAGGCATTCTGGGTCTGCCAGCCCCAGCACAGTGACCTGGCCCAGGAGAAGGCACAGGGGCACTGGCCCTACTAGCCCACTCCTCAGCTGCCAAGCCAGGCCCACAGGGCATGCTGCAAGCACCACACAGGCGCAGGCTGCAGAAAGCCCTCAAAGTGCACAAAGAACGGAACACTTCAGACCATGTGGGAGACGGGCCAGTGCAGGCCAGTGGCCCTTCACCTCCCAGTGGCTTTTTCCAACATGTGCCCATATGGATACAGGCCTCCCACTCAGGCCCTCTGAGAGAATCACTGACATCTCAGTCTGATCCAGAAACAGCAGGGACCCTTCCAGCAAGCCAGAACCCTGCTCTGAAGCCCACCCATGTGGCACAACACTGTTTTTATTTTCAAGGACATATGTTTTTATTTTCTAGGAGCTCTGGAATATGCCCAGGGATGTGGCTGATGTGATGTCAGTGCCCCTCACCAGGCTGGCCTCACTCCAGCCCAAAGCCACACACCTATGACAAAGGCCTCTACTGACCAATTCACAGATACCTTGACAGGACTAAGCATCTGACATCTTCAGGCATCAAACTGTTTTGTTCAAATTATTTTCAGTTGCGGCTCAGAGTTGGAGGTACAGAACCAAAATTAGGGCTGCAGTCTTCAGAAAGTTCTGCTACCCTGAACACTTTCTGTGTGCATTTCTCCAAACTCTTCAGAAGGTCCAGGGCTACCCACAGCCCTTCTCAGGAGAGAGAGAGGCTGAGGAGATACTTTGTTCACAGATGGCCAAATGTGTGAAGAAGCAGAGGACTGGTTCACATTGGGGCCTGGAAGGCTTGAGCATGCCCAGGACCTCATGACTGGCACCTCATGTTCCTGCCCCATCAACAACTTGACAACTCACTCAGAAACTCCAAAGCAGGGGCAGGGGGATTATTTTTAAAGGCTCCTAAAAGGAACCCCAAGGATCTGTAAGGTGCCCTGACTCTTAAGTACCCAGAGTTGAAACCATGAAGAGCCAACCCACAAAGGCCAAGTGTTAGCCCACTCTATGCCCCAGGCCACCAGCACTAAGCCACAACCCTGAGAAGCTATGATGGCAGAAATCGCACTCAATTCCGTTTCGTGCTTACCTGTGTAAACGCCTGTGACAATGTCTCCCTCCTCAGGACGTGGACTGTCTGGGACCCAGGGTTCCTCCCCTCGTTCCAGCCGGAAGATCAGATCCGGTTTGGGGATTGGGTATCCTGCCCCACAGAAACAGAGGGGAGCTGCAGGGCTGCTCAGCAGACCCCTCTTCACAGCCACAAAGTTGCCTCTGCCCTCCTCTCCAGACAATCTAGGGCCAGCCCCCACTTCCTGCCTCCCACACAGGGTCTCACCATCCCTCGCTAGTCTTGCCCTGACAACCAGCTCTCCTGCCAGCCCCTCCACCCATCTTTACCTGCAGGTATCCACCCCTCTCCTCTGCTGCCCCCTTTGCCCCAGGTCAGTATCGCAGAGAGCATCCCAGAACATGTCCACCTGACTCTTGGCCCTCAGGGGCCACAGCAGGACTCTAGGACACTCCGACAATCAGAAGCAAGGGGTGCCTCTAGAAGGTGGGCTGACTCTACCACCCCCTTCACCATGACCCAGGAGCTCCAGAAGCCACCTCCCAGACAGCTCAGCCCCAGGCAGCATTGTACAGGACACCTCTAGGGGACGAAGGCACCTCCTTACCCAAGGACACCAGGATCCCATAGTTCTCTTGCATGACATCCTTGTAGAGGTCCCGCTGGTCTGCATCCAGCCGTTCCCACTCCTCCAGGGAGAAGTACACAGCCACATCCTCAAAGGTGACCAGCCCCTGGAAAACAAAGAGCCCCGACACTGTCCTAAGTGACCCCCACTAGAGGCAAGGGCCCCGAGAAAGATCAACAGGAGATTACTTCCACAAGAACTTAGCACATGAAGCCCTGCAACCTAGAGCTCCCAGAAACACAGCCCAGCACCCCACCATCAGCAGGCGAGTGCCCGATAGCAACGAGGACTGGCCCTGCCATAGCCCTGGGAGGCAGGGCCCCCACTCCCATTCAGAGCAGAAACTCAGGCTCAGCTGGGACAACACTGAGCCAGGACTCATGCAAAAGTCAGGACACAAGGAAGCCCAAGCCCCCGGCCATGCTCCAGGTCACCTTCTCCCCTACTGCAGTCTGGGTCAACCCACAGAGACATCAGGAGTGTGAGGGCCCACGCCTGGGTGGACAAGTGACACAACTGTACGTGGGCCCTGGGTGGACAGTGTCCAACTGGACAGAGGACAGGCTCTCTAGGGAAGGGGTCCATCATAATCTTGGGGGGAGAACCAGGGCCCTAAAGGGACTGCACACAATACAGGACTGACACCAATCCAGGAAGTCCCAAGGGCCTGGGAAGGGTCAGGAGACTGGAACCACATTCCATGGGCTGCTTCTTGAAGCCCAGTCCTGCCGGGGGTCTCCTGGGGACCACAGTGCTATGGGCCTGCCAACGGTGGGCTCTAGGACGGCAGGTGCCAAGTCCCCCTGGGGAGACCCGGCCCTGGTTCAATGAGCTCCAAATGAGGGGGCCGCTCACCTGAGACCCAGCTGTCAGGGAATCCTCCTCCTCCTCCTCCTCCTCTTCCTCCTCCTCCCCCTCCTCCTCCTCCTCCAGGTCCTCATCCCTAGGCACGGCTGGAACCCGGGTGGCCTGCAGGGCTGAGGGGAAAGATTAGGGGCCAGCTGCCTTTAGCACTGGGCCTCACCGTCCCAGCCAACTTCTGTCCATCCATCAAGCAGGGTCAGGAGCTCCTGGCTACCTCCTCACTTCAAAACCTGGGCCCTGCTGCTCCAGCTCCACCTACTGGGGCCCAGGAGGTCTCCCCCACCTGCCACCTGAGCCTCCCTTACTTCCTCCCCCAGGCAGGCTCCTCTTTCCTTACCCTTTTCCTGACGAACTGGGAACTTGGTATCACCACCACGGCTAAGGTGCTCCTGGGTCCCCAACGGTGGATTCCGCTGCTCTGCCACCACTTCCTCCACATCCTCATCCTCCAACTCTACCTCCACCTGCTCCACCTGCCCTGTCTGGCCCCCCTCCTCGTCGGCCTCCAGCTCTGCCACCACCACATCCTCCTCTTCCACTGGCATCTCCTCTTCCTCCTCCTGCTCCGCCCCCTTTTTTTCTTCCTCCTCCTGATCAGGATCACATCCCAACCCAGCCTCTGCCCTCTCCAGCCGGGCAGCCAGGGAGTTTGGGGTCGTGTGAAGGGCGGCCATCTTCTCTGCAAGCCTTAGGACAGCCTGAAACACAAAGACAAGGTGTAAGTAGTCAAGTCCTCACACCAGCCCATTGAGGGGAGCCAGATTCATGTCCCCATGATCACTGTCAGGGCACTAGAACTGCCATGACCTCACGTGGCACAGCCAAGACCTGCATCCAGAAAAGCTGTCCGAAGATCCCTCTCTGTGACTCCCCTTTTGTGGTCTCAGCACTTTCTCATCAGCATCTATTCACCTGGGGTGAACTGTCCTTTCTTGGAGTAAATCGGGAATTTGCCCCAGGTCATGTCCCATTGCCTGAGGGCCGTGAGAAGCATCAAGTCCAGCCAAGGGGAGTAGGGGGTCTGCGTTTAGTCTGCACACAAGGACCAACCCCTACAGACAGGAGGTGCTCACCCAGCTCTCAACACGCAGGCACCGTGCCAACAAGGAACACTGGAGGAAGTCCAGACACAGGCATGCTGTGGGCCCGGGCAAAGCTGCGCGGGGCAGGGCGGAGGGGCAGGGGAGCACAGAGGCGTGCCAGCAGTGCCCCCACCATCCACCACGGCCTGGGAGGGCTGCTCTGGGCAGCAATCAGGCAGGACTCACTCCTTCCTGCAAGGAAAGAAAAGCCCTGAGAATGCTTCTCTCTTACCTTTCCCTATACCAAGGATATTTGAAAAAACAGTGGTTCATGGAGATCTGGTTCCTCAACACACCAATAAAGGGCACAGAACATCGCTGTGACATTTCTTCAAGCTTGGGTAAGAGATGCCTGAGGGCTGGACTGTCAAAGGCCGGTGCCCGGCAGGCCCTGCTCTCACGGGTGTCACACTGCTCAGCCCCGGTGTTCGGGGGAGTGCACAGCACACAGCCCAGAGCTCGGCCTTGAGCCCAAGCAGGATGGAGACCAAGGGCACGGGGGCCACTCCCGCTCCCAGCTACACGCGCTTCTGCAGCCCCTGTGGAACCTCAGGCACAGGACAGAGTCACACTTTGGGCAGGTCGATTTCTGGGGCTCCTTACTAGTAAGTCTATGAAGTTCGTACCCAGCACCTGCCACTTCAGTGTCTCAGACCCAGGCAGGGCAATTTCCAAAATGAGTCAGTCTCATTGTAAACTAACCTCCAGAATCCTGGGATGAAGGCAAGGCTCCCAGGAGGACCCTGAAATGGGTAAGTGGGCCCACCCCTGCTCACTGACTTCTACCAGCAGAACCTAAAATAGTATCAGAGCGCCCTGCATACAGGTGCCCAGCACCATGAGAGCAGTTTAGACCACAGCGCAGGTAGGAAAATGCCGCTCAGTGATCAGCCCCTACTCCACACCCACTTCCTAGACACCAGTGTGTACCAGTCACGCTTCCTAGTACACTCATTCCTCTAACAAGTCTGAGCTGCTGCATGGAGCACTCATGCAGGTGCTCCGGGGGCCCGAGGCCAGAAGCCACCTCTGTTCTGCCCCACAGGCTGATCCTGGCTGGCTCCAGCTCCATTCCAGATTCATTATCACTGAACTCAAAGGCCAGAAGAACCCTAATAGGTGGGTCACCATCTCCAGCCTCTCCCAGATGCCTGCCTCCTTGACCTCTCTGGCTCTCTGAGCATGGTAGGTGCCTGAGGTGTAGAAACTCATGTGCTGGGTGCCACCTCCAGGAAGATGCAACACTGCCAAGCACTCTGGAATGGAGACTGCTCAGCAGAAGTTTCCCAACCACCACCCACCTCAGGCTCAGAGGCTTTTCTCACCTAGGCCTTGGGCTGTAAATTCAGGCTGAGCACAGACAACATGCCAAGCCACCACCCAGAGCATACTCCCACAGGCCAGGCCTCTGTAGCTGAGGGTCCACACACAGAAGAAAACTCTGTGGCTTTAGAATGAAGTGGCCCTACACTGGTGTCACCTCAAGACCTGAACCATATCTCTGGTTCCCGTCCCCTTTCCTACCTCAATCCTCCAGACAGCCTTCTGCATCCCTATCACATACAGTTCCTTGGACTTTATATGCTAAGCACCCATATTTTTATACATTTACAGAACTGTCCGCATGTGTCTTCCGGAGAACTCAGTCAGCTCCGGGAAGGCAAGAGCTCACCATGCTCACCTCTGAATACCCCACGCCAGATACACAGTAAGCACACAAATACTTACTGAAGAAGTGACCTGACATGAGGCCTCTTAAATGTTCAATGTTTTGGTCCTAGTGCTATGTTCCAAAACACACTGAGCACTGGAAACCACCCAGAAGAACCGGAGAGAATCGGTCTCCAAAGAGGATGCAGCCTAAAGTCCCTTTTCTCAAGTTCAATTGCTGGAGACAATGAAGGGACATGTCCAGCACCCACGGGAGTCAGCAATCACCCTGCAGTCAGGACTAGCACCTAGCTCAGCCAGACACCCCTTGTACCCCGGTCCAGAATCCAGAACAGTTGTGAAAAATGGACCCTGGTAGCTCAGGTGCTGGGTTTTTCCTGCTGCCCATGCCTGGTGTGTCTGGGTATGCTCCCCCAGACCCACACAATTTCCTCTTTCCAACCTATAAGCCAGAAACACACTGCTCTTTTCTCTGGAAGCAAGTTCCAGGCTGGAAACCACCAAGTCAGGTAAGCGGACTCAACAATGTAGTAGATCCCTGGCTGATCCAGGCCTCTAATTCCCCTTGGGTCCTGTACCCCGATATCCATTGCTACACACATTCAGAACTGGGGAGGCGGGGATAACAGGACACCTTCCACAGGGAGACAGGAAGGAGGCCATAACAGGAAGGATTGAGTTTGAAGAGTTAGGAGCCTCTCCACAAAGGCCCTGTCTAGGGAACCCACAGAGAAAAGCAGGAGAAATGTGTGGGTACAGGTCTCTAACCTTTCCTCTGGGTTGCCTTACTGATCACACCCCTGTTACTCAGGCCTTAGATTCTCATCTCCTCCATGAGGCCTTCCTTTCTTAGATTACTGGGATTCTCAGTGTCCACAGATTTCAGCTTCTACGACTCTCCTGGGTTCTCTCCCAGGACAGTGAATCCTTGGGCCATGCTAGGTCCAGAGCGCAGCCCCTCACCATTAGAACAAACTCCCAAACCTGCCAGTACTTGCAGAAACAAACCCGGGACAGAGGTCTCCCCACAAAGGCACAGCTGGGGGCCTCATCCTGTTACCTGCACACCTCTCCTCCCCCCCTGCCCACCTGGTCCTCAGCCAAAGGCCAGCCCCTCTCCCATCTCTGCGGCCACAAGGGGCTGCCCAAACTCCATTCAACACTGGTAGTAGGAGACTTAGCCTAGCAGCTCGTGGGGCCTCCATTTGTAGAAGAGGGAGGGCTCCGACAAGGCCCCCAAGGTCACAAAGCAAGCACTTTGGGGTGCCAGGCCAAACCACCTCCATTCCTTCAGGGGGGGTTATCTGGCCTCCGCCATCAGCAGAGGCCTGGGCAGTGACAGCCCCTCCTGGATGGGTGTGTCCCTGGGGGCAACCGCGGCCCCACCCCCGCCCCTTCGGCGGCCCAGAGGCGGAGGGCACCTCCCGCGCTGGTTCTCCCCAGCTTGCCCACACCGCGCTGCCGGACCGGACCAGCCCCAGGGATCAGAGCTCGCCCCAATGCTCAGTCCGGTGTGGGGTCCGCGGGGCGCGCTGGGCGTGGGCGCGGCCGCTGAAGGCCCGGCCAGCGCTCGGCTCTGCCT